TAAAAACGTGTAATCCGTTTAATCCCGTGTACACGCCGTGTACACCGTCTAAACACTACACGTGCCCTCGCCGACTGTTTACCGTTTAGCGTTTAGGCTAACACTGATATGGCCTATGGAGTGAGAAAATCATGAACATTTGGACCAACTAGGAACTGATCCCTTTTACCATGCCAAACATTGTGAACAGAGACTTATCGTCCATCTTCACCACCATGTCGTCTGACAAAATCCCGTCGAAGTTAGACGGATAGCAAGTGGGCTAAGTTGGTTGGCGTTGGATTAAGCAAAAGGAACGGCGGAAAATGTGCACGGCGGCGACGAGCGCGGTTGTATTGTCTTAAGAAATAAGTCGTCGGAAAAAACTTTTCGGTTCCAGAGATGGTGAACGTCGTCGGGTGCGCGGTGACACGAGAATTCTGGAGGTGTCCTCGGATTTCGGTGGGTCGATGTGAATCGCCAAAAAATTGAAGAAGAAGACTGTGTTTTGATTGAAATTTTCAAGATCTAAAAACTTTGACCGGAACAATTGTCGACCTTACTGGTGGAATTTTCGTCAGAAATTTTAGGGGGTGAATGAGGACGAAAAGAGTTTCGAGATGATGTAAAAAATATTTCCGGCCGACGGCGACAGCGGGCGGTGGTTGACCCTAATGTGTGTTTTCTGCTAATGTTTTGAAATTGAAAGTTGACTCTGTCAATTTAGCTTTAATAATTAAGAATAAATTATTGTTTCCGCTTTTTCTAATCTGCCTATGTCACCTTTTTTTATTCAGAGTGCAAATAAAAGTGGAGTAGATAGAATATATCATATTATAGGACCAAGTTTGAAAGTAGTGAATACCAAAGTGCAAAAATAGACTTTTTGACGAATTTATAGGACCAATTTTCAACTTTATCCAATATTTATATGATGTTGTGATGACATGGATTATGTAGGCCACATCAACAGAGTTTGAGATATCCACGGGAATTCCGTCGATTTGGTCGAATTTGGGTAATAAGCCCAAATTTTAATACTTATTGGCTACTGCGCCAAATTGAAAAAATGGTGCTAATATAGCCAACGAGAGGTTGGCTATATTTTACAATTTTAGTTATCTATTTTGTTGATTTTTCTTCATTAGAAGTTTACAAATATAGTTAAAAAAGATAACACATATATTTATATCCATAAATATTAAATAGAAACCCATTAGCCTCATATTATCATAATGTTTAGTAATCGGTATTTTACCGATTCTGTCTTCCGAAATTCGGTCCCACTAAACAAACAAAATCAGTTTGCATGACCACAAAAGAGGAGCAAGTTTTAATGATAACCACAAAAGGCAAAAATGTGTAATGGTAGACAACAAATGGACCAGATAACGAATAAGGAAACTCTGTGGAACATTTATTACTTGTTTACATGACCAATTTCATACAAGATACAACTGTTTCGGATGACATCAAATGGAAAAACTGACCCGTCGAACCAGCAGCTGGTGGTGAACGAACGAACGAACGATTGGTGGTTCAGAGGTGGTCAAGACTTCAAAGCCTTACTCCTCTCCTCAGCAATTCGAATAAGAAAAAGAATTTATTACAGTGCCATTCAGATCAAATGCTATCGAAGCTCACCATCAACCTGAAGCGTCGTGCGTTTCTCTGCTTCAAGTTTCCTCAAGGCTGTAGAACTCAATTTGTTTCCACTAGATTCTTCAGGTACTAAATCAACAACTTCAATCTGCATAGTTTTTATAAAAAAAATAAAAAACAAAAAGAAGGTAATGAAAAGGGTTTATAAAGAGCCAAAAGGAAAATATCCTTCGTGCAGACTGGATGTGTCATACCTTTAGTTGTGAGAGACCTCTCTCGGCCCTCTTCTTATTAACAGATAACCCCCCAGCAAATGTCTCCTTACTATCAAACAAACAACTCTAGTTATAGATATCACATAATAGTTGAACATTTATAATCTGTTACTCGTCAAAATATGATCTGTAAATGCACATAATTCACCTCTAGGTGATTTGAACTGATAAATCTACATACAAAACCCAGAGGGATCTTATTATGGCATAACTTATTTCCTATATTTAAATAATCAATACTAACTGGGGTTATATCACAAAAGTTTCAGTTACTTCCAAGCTTTTATTTGAAATAATTCACATATTGGCATCAGATTATAATCGCCGGAATGAAAGAAGACAAGGTATGAATGAAAGCAAAGTAGTATAAAGAGACATGATTGGAGAGGCTAATCCCAAAAAGATTGTACCTATAAATAGTAATCGAAGTAATCGAAGGAAAAATATCAGATGACTGAAGTAATTTCTCAGTAGTAATCGAAGGAAAAATATCAGATGACTGAAGTAATTTCTCAGGAAACTGTACTGACCTTAGAACAATAGCCTCCAAATTATTGTCGATAATTGACGGACCATAAAGGTCCACAATTGGTTCTGCTTGCACAACCAGCTCTGGCTTAACTGACTACAGTGGAAAACAAGGAAAATGATTAAATATTACCTTCATGACTATTGACAGAACAAGATAGAAAATTCAGCAGTCCAACATAAAGAAGACTAAATTAGTCATCCAGCATAATTATTAAGAGACAGTAAAAATCAAAATGGTAATGCGTGACCCTTTCTCATCTTCACAGAATGGTAATGCTCTATTGTTAAACAGTAAGAAACATTGAAATAAACCAAAAGCTGAATCAAGAGAACAACACCATGTGAGTTGGAACTACTACAAAAAGAGAAAGAAATACAAGAAGCATCTGCCAAATGGCATGTACCTTAATGTAATCTTCAACGTTTTTCATTCTTTGCTCAATTGGCTCTATCAAATCAGAATACTGTACGGAAAATGAAAAGAAGGGTTCAAAAACATCATATTTTTCACTTTTTCAGTAGAACATAATGGTAAGAGGCAAGAAAATTTAACATGTTAAAACTTAACCGGGCATGAGAAACCAGAGGTATTGTTCAACCCAATGTAGCCCTACAATTTCAAGTCTTATACATAGTGAACTTGAAAATGATCATCTATTTCTTGCAATCCAGAGTATTAAAGGCTATAAAAATTGTCTGAAAATCAAGGACGATTCTTCACATGATCAAAGAAATATTAATTCTTAACACGTCGACTCAGCAGGTATGAATAACCAAGAGTCTTAACTAAAACAGACTTGCATCAATAAATTCATCTATACCGAAAACTGGACGAGTATAAATCAATCAGACTCCACACTCAATTTAAACTTCCATAAAGATCTCAATTAAAGGAATAATGTAACCTGAACTTGTTGTTTGAGCCCTTCAACCATCTTTACTAACTTACTGATGCACATATCTATTGAGTGCGAGAAATGCAATCAACTGTTTATACATATAAACATATAACTAACAAAAGGTGAAAAGTACGGAAAACAAAAAAGAAAAAGAAAAAGGAATACGAGTAGTTTCATTCTACCTTAGATGTTCGACGACTAATTTGGGTTCAAACTCTTAATAATGTAAACAACTACTTGAAATACTGCCCAAATAAGTGTCTTGTCTAATAACCATCAAATAAGATCTCGTTTTTTCCCTTTTCTTCTTCTAGGAAAAATCATGAAATTGTCAAGCCAAATATATTCCACAACACTGAAACTACTCTGTAATCCGCTTCCTCGGTCTTTATCATATATCTATAAATAGTACCTCACATAAGAACTCTTCTACCTTTCTTTTGGGAAAGAAACAATGAACAGATGAAGCAACCATATATACCAGACTAGTGTATTGATGAACAGCTACTCGTTCTCATCCCCCTTTTCAGCTACACAAATAAGAAATCTCTTCCATTGTTTCCTTTTTTGGAAGGAAAAATGAATTGATAGAAATATGATGCAGATCACAAATTTTGCATAGGACAATCCAATTTCAAGCAACCCAATCATTGTGATCTTTAACAGGAGAAAGCGGGGCAACCATTGGACAAAACAAAAATTAAAAATTAACAAGAAAAATCTAGTCTGCCGAGGCATAAATAAACACATCAACTCCCAACGCATCTGACCGTCATAAGCTTGTCCTCGCGAATTAAATGCCCTCACTGAAAAAACAAATACAACCACTTGACAAGATAAAATTAACTACTCATCACCTGTTTATTAGCGAGCATGGGGCCATCGCAAACACCAACCACGATTCGATCCCTCGCCACCGCAGCCGCAGCCTGCAAAATTATGAGACTATCATCGGAAGATCATTGAATAAAATAAGTGGACAGCCGCCCCCACGGACCTTGAGGAATTGGCGATGGCCGTCATGCAAGCGGTCGAAGGTGCCACCGAGAACCACCGAGCCGTATGAATCAGGCGGCAATAGGATTGAATTAGGACCTGAATTATCATTCGAACTAGTCATTTTTACTTTTTGATTCTACACAGTTAAGGTTGGAGTTTATGGCTGGCTTGAAACTGGGCAAATGGAACTTGTGAATGAAGATTTTTAGGCCCTGTACCAAATGCAGTAAACAGTTTGTAATATTTTTATTTCAAAAATTAGATTCATAAAAAATATCATATGATAGAAAATAGTGAAGATAAACTTAATTTCATAAATTAAGTTAAACAAAAATACTTAAAAAATAACAAGAGGAATTGATCACCTTCACATTTTGCAAGTGAATCGTATGAACATATAACAACTAAAGTTTCAAACTCTCTTTAGCCTTAACGTATAATAGTTTAAATTAATTGTACTCCACAATAGACAATTCTAGTTAAGAAACTAAATAACCATTTAAGAAAAATATAAGAACTAAACAAAAAATAAATCGAAACTTGCATTTAAAAATGGATACATTCACATAACTCACCATAATATACACACAAGTATTCATTAATAATATGCACCTTCACGCTAATATGATTGAATTATATACACACAACTAACATTTTTGATACATTGATCGAGTAAAACAATAAAAGAACAAAAGGCCCACGTCGTGGATTAGGCAGAATCGAAATAATCATATCGCGAAAGGCAACAGAAATAACTCACATGATACAAAACAAGGAAAACAGAACCTATGGCGAAATATCGGAAAACAAACCACATACGCCAATCAAAGACCAACCCAACCTCGACTTACAATTAAACATAATGCTGCAACAGACGAAAATCACGACTAGTATGTCGCGAGCAAAAGCATAAACAGGATTTGATACGAACAGTTCAAAAACAAATTAATTAGAGAAAGCTGTCTTATACAGAAGACTGAAGAATGATTTAACATAAAAATCAAAGGATCAGATCGACACCGCACTGCAAAGAGACGTATGCGAGCAACATTGATAATCGACTTAATCACAGAGATAGGTCCATTAGATTGAGGTCGTGAAAGCAAAAACGGAGATCGCAACAGCAAAAAAATGAAAAAATTCACCACTAACCTTTCGGAGATGAACGCACATCACGGTTGATGCCTCACGACTAACGGATTCTGGCTAACAACATCACTATTAACACATGAAGAACAGCTCATGCTGCAAATGAAAGAAAAAAATCACAAATTAGTGAAGAATCGCAACTACTAAATCGCGAATTACCCGAGGAAAATAGCAAGGACTTACAAATCTACTAGTACGTACCCGTGCGATGCACGGAACATAGATATTAAATGAGTTATTTTAACACCCTTGTCTGTTTAAATCTTAAAAGTAATAGTGTTATTATCTATTTTCTACCTCTTTTGATCAACGTTAAGTCTAAAAAATAATAAGGTTATAAGTTTTTTTTTCATATCTTTTAACCAGCATTGTTTTTTAGCCATAATTTAAATATGAGTATGTTAGGGCTAGTTTGTAAAATAATTAATATATTATTTCACTAAAATATTTATACTAATAAAACTTTAATTTCAGTATATAAATTTATCCCTTGATATAAGAAAAAAGTAACAGTTTTATTTATTCTTGTTTATCATATAATATTTAATTATTATTTTATTATATAATAAAAAAGAATAGTGTTAAATAGTTTTTTTTAACACAAAGAAGGATTAAAAACAATATGTAAAATAGGAAACTTGATTAAAATTATAAATGCATTAATTACTACTTGATAAAATTAGAAGTTCATTAATTAAAGTTGACTTTTGTACCTACTATATTTAGTAAATAGGTTTCCTTTTAATATAAGTATAGATATATATATAATTGCTAGCATATACATTTAATTTTACCTATTTAATAAAACCTCTAACATTTTCCCTCCATTTTCGGTTACAAAAATTATCACTAATATTTTTTATTTCTCACATTAATACATCATAATGAGTATAATCATGTATTTTTCTGTTATCTTATATAATAGTTATTGCTAATATCAACTAATAATAATTCACAATAAATATAAATTACATAATTAAGAACAATTGTTTTAAGTTATTTATTTTAACATCAATATTATCTTT